ACTGCTCTCCTTTTCTTTGTTGTAGTATCCATCTTGTCGCTCTTCTTTGCACGTTACAATCTTGGTCAAAGTGTAGACAGTGCAGGAGACCAGATTTTTCCGTGGCATATAGTTGAGGGCCACCTCAACTTAAGCTTGGTTCACATACACCTGCGTTATGTCGGCGGGCTATTGTCGTTAGCAGTTCAACCAAATAATGCATCAACAACTGTAAACAAAGATAGCGCAGGAATACTACAGGTATATGTGAACCAGGCGTTAACCAGGGAAAGATAGAAACTGCGTCGTACATTTATGTCGTTGAGCTAGGGACAAGTTCTACGTAGGAGACCAAGCTGCAATCATTTTGTTTGGCTTTACACATCACTGCTAGAACTTGTTGGTCTCAAGTAAGGCGAGCTGTTATTAGAGCACCGAGCTGTTATTAGAACACCAACTTTTGCTTTTCCGACATGAACCAATGTTGTGCCGCCTATGTCATATTTAAAAGTGACAGGATTGAGTTTCTGGGTTACCGTCAGTATACTTTACGTTTTGACGTATTAAATTTCCTGTTGTTCTCATAGCTCCACGTATCGAGACGGCTCAACGACTGTTGGAGAAATCCGCAACTTTGTATATTAAATGTACTCTTGTACAGTTTCGAGTCGTCAGCATAAAGTGCTGTCTGCGACGTATCAGAAACAACATTTGGAAAATCATTGATGAAAATTGCAAAGAGTATTAAACTTCTTTGAGGGACACCAGGCGTAACGGATGTCCATTGAGAGGCCACACCATCTTCATTTATAATGATGCTCTTATCAATGCTGGTATTTCCACCTTTGAAAATAGGCGAGAGTATCTATCCTGCAAACTTTTTGATAATATTGTATCAAACGATGACCACAAGCTTGCCAAACTCCTTGCATCAAAAGCAGTTAATAGAGATCTGCGAAAAGAAAGAACCTTCGAAGTCCCAGTATCAAATACAAACCGCAACAGTTTTATTATCCATTATGCGAAAAAACACTATAAATAACACTCTCCGAAAACTGTTAGGCAAATTTAGCTTTTTTAACATTAAATTTACTTCAAACACTCATTAATAATTCATAAGCTCACTGGCAAATTATGTCAACCATGATATGTCACGTGCAGTGGCTTTAAACTTGATAAAACACTCCTAAGGCAGTACACTAATAAGGCAGTATCTATTGTAGTCGTGTTCTCATTATTATTTTTTATATAAAGAATACTAATACGGCAGTATTGTGAGATATTGTTTATTAATAGACATTTATAAATAGGACAATACGTACGCGTCATAAGGGGCGTGGACTATAAAACAATAGGGGTTGTTCGGGGGATTTTGTTGAAGATTTGAACTAATGAACTAGAGTCTAGATTCGAATTGATATTATGAGAAAATCTTACTACGGAATAAAATACAACAAATTGAGCAGTCTATAATATATTACATGGTCCTTCAGAGCCGGATTAAATTGAGGATAAAATGAGTAATATCAAGAAGAAAATAAAGATACGACAGGGTTATAGAGCTTATCTTACGAAAATTCTGAGCAATGCCGATGATATTGTTCAGAACTACGATGGAAATCAAGAGAAGAAACTAAAGCAAATCAGGATCACTTTAAAAGAACGATTGGACACTTTAAATACCCTTGACGAAGAGATTCTAGAGCTTATCGAAGCTGACGAGGAAATATCTACCGAGATCGAAGAAGCAGGAAAATATCGCGAGAGTGCACACGAAATGATTGTAAATATCGACAGTGTGCTCGAGGCCAAACCGATTAATGAAACTATGTCCAGGAGTATGAGCGAGTCACAGCAACTATCTACACCAGGACATTATCAACCGACAATAAAACATGGGAAGTTGCCATAACTTACTCTAAAACAATTTGATGGATAGCCATGCGAATGGGAAGCATTTTGGGACAGTTTTAAGTGCGCAATATATGAGAATCCGGCTCGAAGGACCATGTAATGTATTATAGACTGCTCAATTTGTTGTATTTTATTCCGTAGTAAGATTTTCTCATAATATAGTTCATTAGTTCAATTCTTCAACAAAATTCCCCGAACAACCCCTATTGTTTTATAGTCCACGCCCCTTATGACGCGTACGTATTCTCCTATTTATAAATGTGTATTAATAAACAATATCTCACAAGTATTTCTATTGAATTTGTAGTCGTGTTTGAAGCCGTTTAATAAACTCGCAGGTCGTGTTTTATTAGGTCTAAAGCCACTCGCGCTGCGCACTCGTGGCTTTAAACGTAATAAAACACTTCTGCTCGTTTACTAAACAGTACATAATATAATACTTAAAATATAGTTTTAATGATAAATCGTTCTTAGAAATTTGTATTGCAATTATAGTAGACATTGTATATTAATATCTCTATTTCATAATCTTGTAAACTACACATGTTTAGTCTTTTGACTGCAAGATAATGTTTCAATAAACTATCTCGAACTCATTAATAATTCATGAGTACATTAGCCAACCACATTGCTTTATTTTGCTCACATGATAATACTGGATAAGTGGTGAAGTATATTGATCCAGTCCTACTAGGATTCAATGAAAATTAATTCAGCCTTAGACTGGATCAAAATTAATCCACCTCGCTTCGTACGAGATGTCATTACAAATCCTCCAATTCGGACTGGACTAGATTTCAAATCCTCGCATTGTGATCCATGCAGTCCTCGGCTATCTATCTATCTATCTATCTATCTATCTATCTATCTATCTATCTATCTATCTATCTATCTATCTATCTATCTATCTACAACAACTCTTTTGAAGGCGACCATGCAGGTAGTCAGCAAACCAATTTATCAAGTTCTCTTTCACTCCAAACGATCTTAGCTTGGCGAGACGAATTTCGTGATTAATTAACCGAGTCAAAAGCTTTCGCAAAATCCAAATATAAGATGTCTGTCTGTATATTCTTGTCTCAATTCTTTTCGATGACGTTGTGTGAAGTTGTGTGACACATGCACGATCGATGTCTAATGAAGCCGTGCTGTTCACCCCCAATAAGATTGGGGACGTGAGAATACAAATTATTGGACACACAATGCTCGGGATCTTGCTACCAATCGACACTCCAAACTAGTGTTTTCATTGGGGGTGATCTAAAATACAAAAGTAGCTGTATATCCCTGATGGCGATACTTGACTAGTTTACGGAAACGTTGTGAATGTAATTTTTTTTAGAATTACAATTATTTGTTATGCTTGGTTGATATGAGCTCGTAGGCTATATTTTAAAGTGGCACTATCATTAAAATTTTTTTTCATAATCCAGAAATATAACATATGCTTGATATTCTTACCAAATTTCAAGGCAAAATTCGTTCATCTTCCTGACTTTTTTACGATTCTTATTTGCCAATTTTACGGCCGCCATTAAACGCACCCAATTAAGCGAGAACTCAGAGAAGGCGTTTTGAAGAGGATGTGACGTCAGTCACTCAACACGCCGAATGTTTTTATTGCATTTCACTACTATTTCAACAATGTCTTCGTACAAAGGAGAGTCAGAAACTTCAGAAAGTGGACACTCGCATGGGAACAAAGCGAGCTGTGATGAAGAAACGTACGGTGACTCACATTCAAGTGAAAATAGTGTTGAGAAGAAGAAATCAAGCCTAGAAAAGTTAATATTTGTTGACAATATATGGCTATCTTGTTTGTTGTTGAAAACATGACCTTTGCCCTTTGGCACAAAAAGGATAATTTTCATCACTCGTTCAAAGTTTGCCTATAGCATCACTTTATACTTCTTTAATATACATCACGGCAACTTGATAGTTTCTCACGTACACAAAACATAAGCAGCGATGGAAGGAAAACCTTTACTTTAGCGTACTGCGTATCATAATAAACCTTTCGGTCAATCAAAATACGAACAAAAATACAAACAAATGCCTTGTAATTTATAGCTATAAATAATATTTCAATGCATGTGTGTCTCATAACTGTCTATCTTCTATCGGTCTATTTCTGTATTTTTAACGACTGTAAATTAATAAACTGACATGCACTAGCTCAGGGAATTTTAAGCCTGGTTCACACGATGAAATAATCTAAGATCTGTGGTTTGGGACTTCAAGACAAATTGCAAAAATTCCAAAATCGAGCAGCAAGGGTGATTACCGGAGCTGACTACGATGTAAGATCGTCTGAAGTCCTAAACAAATTAGGTTGGGAAACCCTGGCTAGGAGACGAGAACAAAACAAGCTAGTATTGA